TCACTTTCAGTTTAACTCACCCAAAACTGAATTTACCTTCTTCTACTATCACCTCCTTTTCTTGATCTTAATAGTTTAGTAATCTTACGTCCGGGTGCGGTGGCTCACACCTGTAGTCCCAGCACTTTGGGAGGCTAAGGCTGGCAGATCACGAGGTCAGGAGATCAAGACCATCCTTGCCAATATGATGAAACCTCATCTCTACTAAAAACAAAAAAAATTAGCTGGGTGTGGTTCATGCCTGTAATCCCAGCCACTCTGGAGGCTGAGGCTGGAGAATTGCTTGAACTTGGGAGGTGGAGGTTGCAGTGAGCCGAGATCACGCCAACGCACTCCAGCCTGGTGACAGAGTGAGACTCGTTCTCAAAAAAATAAAATAAAATAAAATAATAAAATAATAATAGTTTAGTAACCCAACCGTCTTCTTAGCCAGTCATACTCAAAGCTGTAGGGTTATGGTTGCCTCTTGACTACTCCTCTCCCTCTAAATTATCTCCAACTAAGAATATGACAATAGACTCCTAATTGAATACTTATACTCCTTTAGATTAAATGTTCTAATGCATAACTTTGATTGTGTCCCTCCACTGCTTAAAAACCTTCAATAAATCCCCATTGCTTAAAGAATTATAAGTTAACACCTTAGTCACTCATTCAAGCACTCCATGATATGAAGCCAACCTAATTTTCAAGAATTACCTCTATACTTCTATACTATATATATCCTATTTTCTTACTGTACTGTTTGCCATTGTTGAAAAATGCTTTGAACTTTCTTGCCTCTGTTTTTCGTAATGACATTTCTTTTGACTAAAATGCCCACTATCCCCAACTCCAGCTCTCACTGTTGGAATCCCAACCCATCCTTCAGTCTTTTCCTCCATGATTATTTTTCTGATATATCTGATAATGCATGCTAGTCCCATCCTCTGAAGTCACGAAGTATGTTATTAACACCTCTTGTATGATACTTACTATCTTCTGCCTTACTTATTCTGTATTCTTTCTGTGCTTCTTATGGTTCCTATAATACACAGGGTCTTATAATTAAAGGAAATCTTATCTTAATTATTTCTACATCTTCCCTCGTCATGTATAGCATAGTATCTTTTACACAGCAGATGTACAATAAATGAATATTTAGGGGCTCATTTCCTAATCTCTGATTTTGACATCAGCAAAGCTTGTGATCTGGGTTAATATTCAGCTAGTATGCACCAGTACAACCAGCGTCACTATTTATCACCTGTGTACATTTCAACTTATTTGGGGGCTGTGATACACCAGTTAATATTTTCTTTTTTCTTTTTTTTGAGTCAGGGTCTGGCTCTGTCATCCAGGCTGGAATGCAGTGGCATGATCTCTACTCACTGCAACGTCTGCCTACCGGGCTCAAGCAATCCTCCCACTCAGCCTCCTGAGTAGCTGGGACTACAGATGATCCTCTCACCTCGGCCTCCCAAAGTGCTGGGATTGTAGGCGTGAGCCACCATGCCCAGCCTTTTCGTTTGTTTCTTATTTAAAAAAATTTTTTCAATTATCATTACCGATATGATAGTCTGCCTTGAAATGTCTTTTGGTACTTAACTGAAACAGCACATTCTGCTGAATGGGCTGGAGGCAATATTTGGAAGCTCCTTCTAAGTTACTAAACATGGTAGGTCTTGGGTAGGGGCACAGGCTCAGAGTGGGCGATTTATAATTTAGGCAACTAATCATACCATTTATTAACATTTTGATTTTCTAATGAAGAATACAGACTATCACCTTATTTTGTTTACATATAAAATTAAAAACATTACAATTAGATGGCTGGGCACGGTGGCTCACACCTGTACTCCCAGCACTTTGGGAGGCCCGGGTGGGCAAATCACCTGAGGTCAGGAGTTTGAGACCAGCCTAGGCAATAGGGCGAAACCCCATCTCTACTAAAAATACAACAATTTGGCTGGGCATGGGTGGCTCATGCATGTAATCCCAGCACTTTGGGAGGCCGAGGTGGGTGGATCACGAGTCAGGAGTTTGAGGCCAGCTGGGCCAACCTGGCGAAACACCATCTCTACTAAAAATACAAAAACTAGTTAGGCGTGGTGGCAGGCACCTGTAGTCCCAGCTACTCGGGAGGCTGAGGCAGCAGAATCACTTGAACCCAGGAGGTGGAGGCTGCAGTGAGCCGAGATCATGCCACTGCACTGCAGCCTGGGTGACAGAGAGAGACTCTGTCTCAAAATATAAACATGAAAAAAAAAGAAGAAGAAGAAAATATAAATACAACAATTAGCTGGGCATGGTGGTACATTCCTGTAATCCCAGATACTGGGGAGGCTGAGGCATGAGAATCTCTTGAACCCGGGAGGTGGAGGTTGCAGTGGGCCGAGATCGCGCCACTGTACTCCAGCCTGGGCAACAGGGCAAGACTCCATCTCAAAAAATAATAATAAATAAATAATAAATAAAAAGATTACAATTAGAAACACAATGGTAGAGCTCTGTATTTTACATAACAGTAATTCCCATCTATAAGTGATGGTAATGAAAATGGCAAGCAGAGCAGTAAGAACATCTTTGCTGATTGTGGTTGACTCTGATTTTAGAGTTTTTTTGGATTTTCCTTTTATTTTACTTTACTTGGGGGAAAATAGCCTTCTTTATAATTTGGCTTTTCTGCTTTTATCTCATCATACTGAAGTGGAGGTTGTTGGAAAAGATCAAGGATGTCAGTGTTGAACAGGGAAAGTGTAACAATACCAAGTCAATGGGATCTTGGAAAGGAAACAAATCAGGTGCCCAAGGAAGTAAAAATAACAGGGGACTAGCAGGAAAAGATGATCTAGCTAGGAAGGGCTGAGGCAAGGAGGAAATCTGTAAAGTCCCTGGTTCCGCTTCTTCTAGAAAGAGGCAGACAGAGTTTTTTGGCAGACTTGTAAACTCTGTGCCTTCTGTCCCCCCTCCCTCACTTCCAGCTTTTCTACTGATAACCAAGGTGCTTTCCCAACCACTGCCACTGCCTGCCTTGGAGTTTCGTTTTACCTCTGGACATGTGCTTTGGCTGCTGCCACTTGGAACAACTGCCACAGCTAAATGGAGTGATATTTTTAACCCTATGTGTTCATGGAGGCACTCCAGCTACAATCCACAGGAAATCCCAATTTAGATTACTTGGAATCAGTACTATAAAATTATGCAGTTTGTGAATATATTCTTGGTGTTTCACAGTTGACAACACTATATTCCCTTGAGTACCAAACTCACAGAAACCCCATGGAATGATCTCTCTCTCCAAGTACAGTTTTTCTAGAATCAGTATGAGGTGTGAGACTAATCAGACAAGGGCTTTAGCAAATGTGCATTTTTAAAATAAACAGCCTAGAAAAATTATGGCAGTTCTTTTATGGCCCAGAATAACATGTTTTTACTTATCAGCTGCTTAACAGAGAAATGAATTGATACAAAAATTATTTCAGTTCACCTTTCACTGACTACTATTGCTCTGATAGTTCCAGAAAGAGCAGTGAAGGTTTTTATTTTCCTTAAGAGGTAGTAGGGGCTTCTGATGGCATGGTAGAACATTCTCATGTACAGACAAAGGCTGCGGATAAGTGGAATGGCTGCCTTATAGTTATAGGTGAGTAGTGCTCCTGGTATTCTGCCATGCAGCATTACCTTAAAAATGAATATGAACTTATAAATACAGATTTCCATTCTTTTTTTCCTCCAGTCTTCCACCCTTTTTGTAGGCCATCTACGATGCATTCATACACATAAAAGTAGTCTTATACTCCAACCAAAACACTTCCTTCCTCTCAATCAAATCTTATCCTTAGGCTAGTCTCTCAGGGATCATCCATAAATAGCAGAGGCAGAATGTTACCCAATATCCACCAGGATTCACCCAAATGTGAAAAAGATGAATATAACTTATATTGTCTTCTGCCATCAAGGTCACCACTGCCAAAAGCTTTCCTGGACAACTATGTTCTGGGCCCCATTTCTCTCACTCGTTTGTTGCAGTACAATGGTTTTAAGAGCTATCAATTTCCATTCAATGACACATGGTAACTTCCAGTCCAAATACAGAATATTTTTGGAATTGCAGGCTATTTAAGGCAAATCTTATTAATCTAAATGAAGTAGAGTTTACATATTTACTATTAATTTTCCATTTTTCATTTACTTCTCCATATAACTTTACAGCCCATGAAGAGGAGTCTTAAAACCAACATACCTAATTTCTTTCTTTACTTCAAGAAAGATACGAACTAAAAATAGAAAACCTTACTGAGAGGAGGCAGACAGTTCAGCCTACTTGGATTATCCTTAGAGGAGCTATTACATTATTTACTTCTTTCATAGGATATGAACAGAGAAAGTGGACAACTTTCTAGTTCACTTAGGTGAGGGAGGTTGTTTTACTTCTTTTATGTTTTTTCTTCCCCTGAGATCTATTTTCATAGTGTGGTTTTAACTGTTACTAATCAAATACAAAAACAAAAACTTGGGGATTTGAGGGGATCTTGGATTATCTGTGCCTCTCCTCCCTTTATTAACATAGATCACAGAGAACAGACTGAGCTGCAAAACCAAAACTGTCTCTCGAAGCAAACATTGTCTCAGTTTCCTTACCTGTGAATAGCTAATGTGATATCCTTAGGGCCAATTACTTTTAATGATTTAATTACATTTATGGTTTTAAACTCCTTTCCACCTAAACCACATGCTCATAAAATAACAATTAAAATATTTAATATTAAACACAGTGGGAGTCCTGGTTTCCGATTTTTGCTGTAAAGTCTACAGTTATTTGAAGATACATTTACCAAGTTGAAACTTGCAATCATGTAGATGCCTGCTGAGATTTCACACATGAGCTGAGATCAACTGTTAAAAAAAGTCTTCATGAAGAAGTATTTTTATTTTCCTTATTTTTTTTTTTTTGGTGTTGCTACTTTGCTCTGAACATTCATATTTTACAATACTATGTGAGGTGGAACGTGTTTTACCTGGATTCCTTGGAATCCTCTTTCGTCGGTCTCTGAATGCTGCACCTGATTGTAGGGCTTCCAGAAGATTATCCATCACGCCAGTCTCATCACCCTCTGGTGAAAGGGAGAAATCAGAATTAATCTTGGAGCAATTAAAGTTAAACTACAGGAAAATAAAGGGAAAAACTCCTGTCAGATTTACATAATATTCCTAAATTAAAGACATATATCTGTTTTAACATAATGGATCCTGTCAGTTTCTGGCACCACAGACTACTTTGCTTATTATGCACCATTAAGCAAAATTCATGCCAATCCCACTGTTCTCTCAACTTAAAGACCTTGTCTTTTGTATTATTGATGACACGCTCAGTATGCAAATAAACAGTAGCTGATCAGCTACTGCTGCCTTCCTGTTAAGATTCTTATAAGATATTCCTAAGCAAGAAACCACTGACCCAGCTTAATGCAATCAATGTGCAGGGCGTGATTTGATGAAGCGGAGTTACACAAGGTTAAATACTGATTGTATTAATACTTTCGGCATTCAACCGTCATCTGCGATTATCTTAGAAAACACTATTTGCAAAACACATTTGCATTCAATTCTTACTTAATCCATATCCTTTACCATTTTGAGATGCTGACACCGTATAAAGAAAAGGTGACCACATTATCTGAAAGGCCACATTTTAACTTTTAGAGACATCAGCCAGAGTCCCACTTCCTTTTTAGAATGCTGTTGTGTGTCTACACTTTTCCTGTGGGAAAGAACTGTTAAGGAGCCATGAGTGGGATGCTCAGAAGATGCTCGTGGAAATTCCTAACAGAAACAGCATTTAAAACATTTTACCCTCCTCCTATCTTTGACAACTCTGGCCATGAAAAACACCTCTAAAATTTGTTACAGTTTGTCTCAAGGTGTCAATGGCCAGAAAGCCTCTACCACACTGTGCATAATTCCCAGTGAGCTCAGCCTGCTCTTCCTAACTGGCCTAGCTGATGAAAAGGACCCCAAATAGGTGGCTACCTTGAGGGTAGCTAAATGTGTGAGTCTGAGGTAGATGACAATTTGCAGGCAAGAGGGTTAAGAGAAGAAGGAGGGAAGAGGGAAAGGACATTATTTCTGATGCTACTCCAAAGTTAAATCTAAATCCTACTTTGTTTAAAAAATTAACTATGGGGTATGAGATCACAAATGAAAATACATTTTATTTTAGTTTAGTTTAGTTTGAGACAGAGTTTTGCTCTTGTTGCCCAAGCTGGAGTACAATGGTGCGATCTCGGCTCACCACAACCTCTGCATCTGGGGTTCAAGCGATTCTCCCGCCTCAGCCTCCCAAGTAGCTGGGATTATAGGCATGCGCCACCACACCTGGCTAGATTTTGTATTTTTAGTAGAGATGGGGTTTCTCCATGTTGATCAGGCCTTGGTCTTGAACTCCTGACTTCAGGTGATCCACCCGCCTCGGTCTCCCAAAATACCAGGATTACAGGCGTGAGCCACCGCACCCAGCTGAAAATACATTTTCTTATGGGATAACAGCAAGCTAAAATCTTTTTTGATTATGTTCTGCATTTGATTTGAGACTTCTTCAATGTTATAATAATTTATTCTTTTAAAATAAACTCTCTAGGACAGGGTATTGAATGAAAAAAAAATGAAGAGAAACGCTGAGGTTCTCAGGTCTAATATTTGGTGAAAACCAGAAAAACGAAGTACAGCCCATTAAGTAAACACGGAAGGGGGATAGTGTACTTGTAGCATTCATTAAGAGGTGGCGCATGGTGGCTCTTGCCTGTAATCCTAGCACTTTGGGAGGCCGAGGTGGGAGGCTCACTTGAGGTCAGGGGTTCAAGATCAGCCTGACCAACATGGTGAAACCCAGACTCTACTAAAAATATAAAAATTAGCCAGGCGTGGTGGTGGGCGCCTGTAGTCCCAGCCACTCGGGAGGCTGAGGCAAGAGAATCATTTGAACTTGAACCTGGGAGGCAGAGGTTACAGTGAGCCAAGATTGTACCGCTGCACTCCAGCCTGGGCAACAGAGTGAGATGCCATCTTCGAAAAAAAAAAAATCATTAAGGTTACAGACACATCTGAAGTATCACCTGCTCTTTTCAATAGGAAAAAAAAAGAAGACCTGAAGGTAGTTTGGTATGGCTAGAATGTACCTGGGAGAATTAAATCGTATGCAGTAGACACTTTACAGTTGTTAGATATTTTAATCCTCACAACACACTGGGATAAGTACTGTATGTTTTTCAACTGTGGTGGAGAGGCCCAGGTATGAACTCAGATCAGTCTGATACCAAGCCCAGTTCTCTTTGCTCAATAGCTGGCAGAAGTTGAAATGAACTAGGCATTAGTGGCCAGATGATGAAAGATGAAAATTCTACGATATGGGGCTTGAACACTATTCTATAAGCCGGTAGTATTCACTAGGTATAAAATACAGGCCATAAATGTGAACCACATAAATAATGCTAAATATTCTGGTAGTAATACTAAAAAAATTAAAAAAGGTAAAATTTTTTTTTTTTTTTCTTTTTGAGCCAGAGTCTCGCTCTGTTGCCCAGGCTGGAGTGCCATGGTGCGATCTCCGCTCACTACAACCTCCGCCTCCTGGGTTCAAGCAATTCTCCTGCCTCAGCCTCCCAAGTAGCTAGGATTACAGGCGCCCACCACCACGCCTAGCTAATTTTTGTATTTTTAGTAGAGACAGGGTCTTACCATGTTGGCCAGGCTGGTCTCGAACTCCTGACCTCAGGTGGTCTGCCTGCCTCAGCCTCCCAAAGTACTGGGATTTCAGATGTGAGCTACCACACCTGGCCAAATTAATTTTTAATACATTAAGTAAACATTCAGCCCAATGTATTTTCAAAATGATGTATTTTACATTCTTCTTATCAGATTAACTCTTAGAAATCTAGTACATATTTACTTCTGCACATGTCAATTCAGATTAGTTACATTTCAGGCACACAATAGCCACATGCAGATGGTGGCTACTGTACTGGGCATATCAACTATAAACAATAGGAAGTGACCTGATCAGATTTACTCTTTAGAAAGACTTGTTGGACAGCATTGTGGAGAATGACTCAGAGGATGGCAAGACAAAAGGCAGGGAAATTTTGGCCGGGCACAGTGGCTTACACCTGTAATCCCAGCACTTTGGGAGGCTGAAGCGGGAGAATCACTTGAAGTCAGCAGTTCAAGACCAGCCTGACCAACGTGGTGAAACCCCCGTCCCTACTAAAAATAAAAAAAAAAAAATTAGCCAGGCGTGGTGGCAGGCGCCTGTAATCCCAACTACTTGGGAGGTTGAGACAGGAGAATCGCTTGAACCTGGGAGGCGGAGGTTGCGGTGAGCTAAGATCACGCCACTGCACTCCATCCAGCCTGGGTAACAGAGCGAGACTCCATCTCAAAAAAAAAAAAAAAAAAAAAAAAGGCAGGGAAATTTTTAATTGCATAGCGTAATTGTCTAAATAACACATAGCCTGAACTAACCAGAGAGCAAAGTGAATGGAGGGGATGGACATTTTGAAGGCATTAATACAGTCAATAGGACTTAGCTGGCAGGAGAAGAAGGGTGAGATTAAGGAGAGGAGTTTAGATGACCAGGGATAAATAAGTACGAGAAAATGTGATCTATTTGATATGTCTAAGGAATATACAAGTAGAAATAACGAAAAAGAAGTTGGAAATGTGGGTCTGAAATGCAAGAGTGAACTCTGGGCTGGAGTTAAAGATTTGGGTGTCACTGGATGGTGGATGAGATTACCTACCCTGAAAAAGTATATTAGAAGGAGAGAATAGAAGATGCAATTCCAGAGAACCTCAACTTTTAAAAAAAATTTAAGAATTATTAATTGACAAGTAAAAATTTTATACATACACACACACCCAATATATGATGTGGTTTCTTTTTTTCTTTTTTTTTTTTTTTTTTTTTGAGACAGAGTCTCCCTCTGTTGCTGAGGTTGGAGTGCAGTGGTGTAATTGAGACTCACTACAACCTCCACCTCCCGAGTTCAAGCGATTCTCCTGCCTCAGCCTCCCAAGTAGCTGGGATTACAAGTGTGCACCACCATGCCCAGCTAATTTTTTTTTGTATTTTTAGTAGAAACAAGGTTTCACCATGTTGGCCAGGCTGGTCTCAAACTCCTGACCTCAAGTGATCAGCCAACTTCGGCCTCCCAAAGTGCTGGGATTACAGGCATGAGCTACCGTACCCCACCATGATGTTTTAATATACATACACATTGTGGAATGAATAAATCAAGCTATTTAACATATGTCATCATTTTTTGGTAGTCAGATACTTAAAATCTCTGAGCAATTTTTGAATACACAATATGTTGTTATTAACTACAGTTACCATGATGTACAATAGATCTCTTGAGCTTATTCCTCTTGTCCAACTGAAATTTTGTGTCTTTTGACTAATGTCTTCCTAATCCCCTCCCCAGAATCAGAGAAACCCAACTTTTAACAGGCAGTCAGGAGAAGCAGAATTGCAAAGAAGACAGGGAAGGAATTTTTAGAGATATGTAAGTACAAGAAGGCGAGGATGACAGCACAAGTGAAATTTTATGTATCCTTACAAAAATGATAATTATAAAGACTATGTAGAAAAGTAAATATATGCAAATTACTGAAAAAAATTTATGATTTACCTAAATAATATGCAGACATAAAAATGTATAACATTATATTGTTTTATTAAAATGATTTAATGCTATTATATTGTAATTAGATAAAAAGATGAAAAAACAAATATGACAAAAAGTTGAGAGGAGGCTGGGCACGGTGGCTCACGCCTGTAATCCCAGCACTTTGGGAGGCTGAGGTGGGAGGATCACTTGAGCTCAGGAGTTCGAGACTGGCCTGAACAACATGGTGAAACCCCATCTTTACAAAAAATACACATACAAAAAAAATAAATAAATAGTTGAGTGTGGTGGCGTGTGCATTGTATAGTTCCAGATACTCAGGAGGCTGGGGCGGGATGGTCACTTGAGCCTGGGAGGTTGGGGCTGCAGTGAGCCATGAGCGTGTCACTGCACTCCAGTCTGGGTGACAGAGTGAGACCCTGTCTCAAAAT